AGAATTGATAGAAATGTATTCTCTTTTTTCTCTCGGATTTATTAAGTATATAAGACGGCTTAAAATAATATTTTTTATCGTCTTAATACTGCTAAAATTGAAACCGTACAGCCGTTTATTACAATTTTTTATTTTTTGAGTTGTCTATGATTTCCCGGGACTTGTTGAATGACACTTCAGAAAAGGAAAGGCTCATTGAGGGATTTACGTTTATGTGCTTTAAAAAATCCATATTTAAGTCATGTATGTCTTTTTTTTAGTATTAAAGAGCATAGAGTTTTCTCCTTGAATTCTAATGTACAAGCTTACGCGTTTTGCATTGTTAGTTTTGTCAATTTAAACTAACTTTCTAAAGTTCTTTTAACACTATCATACGCTGCATCGACGAAGAGATAGTGCGTATCCGACTTTGACTTTCCGACATGAATCCGCATGGGTATTGGTCCAATAATATCCTTTGTAAAAAGTTTAAGTCTCTCAAAAAGTGTGTTGCCGAATATTTATTATGCAGATACTATAACTTTAACAGAGTAATGGCTTTATAGTTCATGCAATCAAGTTCATCAGCCTTTTTATGCAGCGGTGATATTATTCCTATAGCAACTTCTCTGGTATCAATTCGTTCTGCCATATAAGTACTATCAGTTCATTGATTACTGTAAAAAGCTGGTTACTACTTTCCTTACATTTCGGAGCAGATTTCGTTGATTCCTGGAGCTTTATTTTAAATTTTGTTTTTGGATAGCATTTGACACATTCTCGTATTGGTATTGCTGCTTCAATGTGTAGTTGCTGGTGTATGTTTAGTTTAGTGATTGGTGAAATGTTGCATCCACTATCCATCTAGAACTTAGGTTGTATGATGTATAATTTCACTGATAATATCTCTATAACTTTTTATTCTTAGCTTAAATTCCTGACAAAGACTATCTAGGGATTTGTAGCATTTTCTTGTTTTATTTTTATGAAATAAACTTTGTATCTTATTTAACGTTTTAAATTTATACTTTCACTTCAACTTCTCATCACAAAGTTGATGGATACTCTTTTTTTTTCTCCACGTGCAACCTGCTCCAATAGTTTTTTGATATTCTGCGTTTTTGTTATTTTTTGTCATCTCACACTCATTATCAACCCACTGAGTTCTCATTTCTGCCCTGCTTTTACTCAGTATGACGAGGGGCTTTCAGATAATTCGAGCGCGGGAGAGATCGACCCGTCAACCAGACGAGTTATAGGTGGGTTGCTTCAGAGTGTTCTAGTACCTGATAACTTTTATATATAAACAGACCTTCTGAGTTAATTTAAGAACCGCTCGTTTTATTTAAAAAATAAATTCAACAGTGACTTTTGAAAAGTATTGTTCGTTGGGCACATCCGCGTAGTTCGGTACGAAAGAACATTTAATATACATAAGTACGTGTGTGCCTGACCAAAGATGCTGCTAGTAGAACTTTCAGTAAAACAGTTGCGTGAGCAACTAGAGGAACGCGATGAAGACTGCAGCTGGTCCAATAAGATACTCTAAGAACGACTGAAGCCTGTTCTCAAGAAGAATGGAGATGATCCAGAGACATTCTAGTTTCAGTCAGCAGAAGAAGCAGTTTTAACGAAAATAAAAAATGTGTCGCAAATGATTGGAGGCACTTATAAAAAAATAATAATAAATTTGAAAACGTCTCGCAAATGATTGAAGAATCTTCTAGAAGGAATGATGAGAATGTTTCCAAAAGATTCGATGAAACGTCTCAAATTATTAAAGAAGCAGTTAGACAAAATGACGAGAAATTCGAAAATGTTGCTAGACGATTCTACGAGACTTCTCAAATAATTAAAGAAGTATGTATACAAAACAATGAGAAATTTGAAGAAGTTTCTAAAACATTCGATAAGATACAGAATAATGTAAAAGACGTAGAAGAGAAGATCAAACAATTAGAAACGACACATCATATGAGATTCATATTGCCACCATTTAATGGAAAGTCTTCTTGGTCTATATATACCTTAGACAATTTGAAGCTATTGCGGCAGCCAAGCATTGGACAGAACAAGAAAAGGCTGTTTCCTTGACTGCTGCTTTACGAGGTGATGCTGCGGATATCCTAAGAACGATTCCTAAGGGTCAAGAAAAATGTTACCAGACCTTGTTCACTCGACTAGACAAACGTTACGGAGATGCCCATCTACAACAAGTCTACAAAGTACACATAAGAAGTAGAACTCAACGAGCAAGTGAGAGTTTGCAAGAATTTGAAAGATGTTGCTCGTATAGCGCTGTTGGCTTGTCCAGAGGTACCACACAACATTTTGGAAGAAATTAATGTAGATACCTTCGTCAAATAGGTTGAGAGACAGTGAACTATAGAAAGCCTTACGACTAGTAAGACAGAAAGTTTTAGATGAAGCGCTCGCCATTGCCTAGGAGCACGAAACAGCTAGTCAAGTTTCACGGAGCTATCGAGTACGAACCTCTAAAGAGAACGACGAACGAAACGATAAACGTTTGGAGAAAATCGTACGGAAAGTAGTTCCTAACACGATGCCGAAGAGACGCGAAACCAGATGTTGGAATGGTTCCGACGTAGGTCACAGTCGTCGTAAATTGCAAGAAAATAATACAACAGCCAGAAAGCTAGAACATATTGACCACTGGGCTGGAAAAAGTCATTCAAATGCTGATGCTCAGTCACGCCGGCCATGCAGTGCAGATTCTAATCACTGTCTTAAATTAGAAGAAAGACTGCCTCGTGAGACGAATCACCGTCATTAATGATCAATGGCAGCTTCAACAGCTACAAGACGCTCAAGCACATGAAGTAGTGATTTTGTATACTCTTGCCTAAAAAATATGTGATTTTTTTTGTCTCATAAGTATTAACAAAGAATATAGGCGCATGGACAGTTCAAATGGGCGATTTGGTTACGGTTATTATACTTTAAAACAATCCTTAAGAGGGCGACTGCATAAACTCAAACCAGTATTAAGTCTAGCCTATTAGCTTTGCTATTAGGTTATCTCACCCTGACAGACCAATTTGTTGTAATTAAAACAAACATTTTTTTCAACAAATTTTTTTTGGGAAGATTAGTCATAATAAGCATTTTGGGATTTTGACAAGGGTCACAATTTTCTCGCCCAGGGGTCGTTCTGAGCATTTAAACAAATACTGCGTAGACCACAGTAAGGTAGGTATGTAAACAAAAGGAAAGACATTTAAGGTTACAAGCCTAAACTAGTCATTCTACAATTTAATTTTAGACTGAAATATGAATAATAAAATAAAATCTAAAATATGTTTATCATTTAGTACCAAAAGATTCATGACATTGTAGGGACCATAAATGTTTAAACTTTATAGATTTTTTCTAAATATGTCAGACTCATATTGCTACAATTAAAAAATATGTTGTTCAAATATGCCGTTTCTTAGCAAATATCACAATGATTGTTGTCAATTATTTTTATTTTGTGTAAATGGGCCGGATAGCAAGCATGTCCAAACTTCATCTGAGATATCGTTGTTATGGAACTTCTCGGATAGTTGTAATTTAAATATGTGATTAAAGAAACGAATCTAAATATTGTGGTAATCATTGATTTTTGTTTAAAATTGCCTCTTTTGAACTCTAATCCATCCATACCAGGGACAAGATTTGAATTTTGTAATATAGGAAATATTATTAGACAAAGTTTTTTCTTAAAATCAATAGTTTTCTAGACCAATGAGGGATAAAGATTCTCATTCCTGTACAGAGCGATGCACAGGATTAACCATTCCTAGTGACAGATGATAGGTACAGAGTAATAAAGCAATATATGATTTTTTTGGAACCAGTTGTTAGTCAATTTCGCAACTGAATAAAAAGTAAATTCCCACTGCATATGTAAAAGATACAAAAATGAAAGTGAAAATATTTGTATTTTCAACTGAAACTGTGGTTCTTTTTCTTCTTAGGGTGCCTGTTTGTTCCAAATGTCGGCAATAATTCTGGCTATGATGACTTTGTTGGTTGCTATATGAAAGGGGTAGCTGTGTTGAGGTCTTTCTATACCATGCTCTCAGGTTAGCAAGCCAGCATATTCTTCTTCATCCTGGGGCACTTTTTCCTTCAATTTTACCTTGCAAAATGCATTAGAGTAGCTCATATCTGCCTTGATTTCTCATTATATATCCCAAGTACTGCAGCTTATGACCCTTCACGATGTTGACCAAATCAGTGGTTGTGTTCATCCTCTAGTACTTCTTCATTGGTAATTTTGTCTGTCCATGGTATAAATTGTGGTTAACACAATAAAGATAATAAATAACAGTTCTGTTTCTGTTCAAATACATATATTTTAGGTTCAGGAAAACATGTATCAAAATAATATTGATAGGTAAAATAAAAGCTTCATTAGTGTCTTTAACATTGTATAAAGTGCTTTGGTCATCTAGTACTATGTAATTTAAGACTTTGTTCATTGTATCTAATGTATGTGTAAAAATTACTGTCTTATGGAAGTTACTACTTTCAAGTATATAGATCTATGATCAGAGATCACCAAAATAGGACCTTGCAAAGAAATATTTTGAAAAAATCTGATCATACATTGAATTAAAGTTTTTGCAACTTTGAACAAAAGTAAAAGATTATCACTATATCCATATTACTATCAAGTGGATAGTTGACTTCCTTTTCTTGTGCAGTAGAGTACACTGGTGCATAAAACTTCCCCAGGTAAATCCTATAACTTCCTAGTTATAGCTTGGCCCAATTGGCCTAAATATCAAAGGAAATGATATGCCATATATAAATGAAAAAATTAGTATGCCAAAGACAGCAGAAAAAAATTCTATAACAAAAATTTAGAATAATTTTAGAGTTCTGTAATCTGATTTATAGATAAATAAATACTCTTATAGTGCAAGCCATTCCTTTATCTCCTTTCTCATATGTAATACCAATTCTAGTCACTTTTTGTGTTTTAACACAATTTACATATATAAAAGAACATAATCAACAAAATAACATTTATTTAAAATATGTACATGCTCCACTTACAACTTATGAGAATCACTAATCACAATATACTTTAAACTATTTGGAGTCTTCTTTAGCAGAAACTTTTTCATCTATTTTCTTAAATTCATTCTCTGAAACTTTATCGGCTTCGTCAAAAACTTGTTCTACTCCGATTACTTCAGGTATATAAAACTGCATCATGTTTTGAACCCCATTCTTTAAAGTAACTACCGAACTTGGACAACTGGAGCAAGCACCCTGCATCTTCAGCTTTACTATTCCATCTTCATAAGCAACAAATATTATATCACCTAAAAATCACAAAAGACAAATCATTGAAAAAAGATAATTTTCTAGATATTTGAAGATCCAATCTTTGAAAATAAAGACTTGTTACTTCAAATTTACTTACCACCATCTTCTTGCACAGTTGGTCTAATTCTAGTATCTAACAGTTCTTTAATCATCTGAACTGTTTCATCATCATCTTCATTAATTTCTAAAAAAAGAGAACTTTTGTAACTGAGTCAACACAATTTTTTAAACAATATAACCCAGTGTAGCTCAGTGTAACTCAAGTTTACTTACGTGTATCTTGATTCGGACTAGCTTCATTTAAAACAGGTAAACCACTTGCAAAGAAATCCATAATTGTGGCAAAAATCTCTGGTTTCAGCAGTTTCCAACTAACTTCATCATCCTCTGCTTTGGTTATAGTAATAAAATCTGGACCTAAAAACACACTCTTCACACCTTCTACTCTAAAAAGTAATTTTCCTAAAGGAGAACAATAAGCTGCCTGTCCATTTGGGAAATCGATAGTTGAGCCAGGTTCTAGAACTTGTACTCCCGGTACAAACTTTAAACTATTTGGATTTGGGGTTTCTTGCGTTTGAATAAACATTTTCAGATGAGAAGAGGTGAATATACTTTTTTGAAGCCATGATTGTGATATACTAAAACAAATACGTTTTTATAGTTATTTAAATTGTAGTTTATCTATACTTTGATTAAAAACTAGTGTTAATAATTGATATACCGGTTATACTAAGATAAAAAATATACTAACTTCTCTTGAGCAATAATCCCTTTAGAAGTATTGCTGAAGATTTTGGAAAAAAGTAATGAGCTCCGCCACATATTTCACAATAACATTATTTTCTTGTACATTAATATAAAACAGAAAATTTGATAAATATTTTCTATTTTTATTAACCTCTGCAGCTAGTATTTTTCGTAATGGAGTGGAATGGAATCACAAAAATTTGTCTGACATGTCATTGACAATCTGTCACTTCAAATGTCGTTATCATTTCTGTCAATGTCATTAAAAATAAATAATAGTCCAGATGTAAGTCTATATTATATTTACAATAAACGATTTAAAAGTTACATATATCAGTTGAATAAATTGGTTCTATATACTGTGTTACATTGAATAAAGTTCAAAATGTCTGAGGAATTACAAAATTATCAGCTTCAGCTCCAGCAAGTTGAAGCTGCACTTTTAACTGATCCTGACAATGAAGAGCTCCAGAAGTTAAAGATAGATCTACAAGAAGTAATAGAACTCACATTAGACTTAAAAAGTAAAGCAGAGGAGGCAGCGAATCAACCAGAATATACAGAGCCAGTCGGAGTTGCTGAAGATGATGAGATTACCAAATCACTACTTGCTGTTGAAGAATTTGTTGCTAGAAATAAGTGTAAACGAATGTGGAGAGTAGGCGACGTGTGTATGGCAAAGTGGAGTGATAATGGACAATATTACGAAGCTACAATAGATGCTATTAATCCAGATGGGCAGGTAAATGTAACTTTTGAAGCTTATAAAAATAGAGGAGTTACTATACTATCAGAATTACGTGAATTTACAGGCCAGAAGCGAGTACTCTCAGAATCAGAAAAAATGAAAAAAGCAAAGCTACACAATAAGGAATATTTAAAGAAAAAGAAGTTAAAGAAGCAACAACGATTCAAGGAATTGGAGGAAGAGCGTGAAGGTGAAAAGAAGAAATGGTTAGCGTTTGCAAATAAGGCGATAAAGAATAAAAAATCTGGACTTAATACCAAAAGCATATTTGCCTCACCGGACTCTGTAACAGGTAGGGTAGGAATAGGTACTTGTGGAATTAGTGGAAAACCAATGACTGAGTTCACTACAGCTGAAAAGTGGAGGAAAGGTGTGTAGGACAAATTAGTATGTTTAAAATTATATGTATTTAAGAAATTTTGTGACCTTTACTGTGTAAGAAATAAAATATTTAAACCTGTATATCAATTTTTAACCTATTATACAATACCAGATGTCTACCATATTTTTCCATAACAAGAGCTTTTAAATGATCAATTTTATTAAAATTGCTTAGCAAAGGTGGTTCTGTGTTATAAAGCTTTTTTGACAAGTTCTAAAAGATTAAATTGCATTCAGTATCACATACAAACTAACAAAATTATTATACTTTAGTACAAGTCAACTTAACTCAAGGAAATGAGTAAAAACATGTTAAATGCTTTAAATTATATGTACGTACTTGACAAGTTTTTTGTTCAATATATATCTATAAAAATAAAACCTTAAAATTTTTTACTTGACTAGTACCTTTTGAAATAATGGAGAATCTTCAAAATAGCCTATTATAGAAATTTATTTTCTATAATAAATTTAACATTCTTTCCTTTTTAAAATTTTTTGTATAGTTTCCCCTCATTGGATTCACAATTGTTAACAAACAATTAAATAAGAGTGAAGTATCCCTTATATTTTGTTTTTATCATTAGGGCTTCTGAATTGTAAGTACTTTTTTTAATCTTTCTTTTTTTTCACATTAGACAAGCAAAAAATATGAATTTTATTTTACTATTTAGCAAAGGTAATACGTCCTGAATGTATGCAACACACATTACACGTCTATTTTAGCCTTTTCTCTATTTTTTCTATGTTTTCTTAAATATAAAATGTTTAATTTTAGTTGACGAATCATATTATATAAAAGTTGTCTAAACAAGAATTATTTATTTAAATACGGTCGTAAGAATTATTGTTACATACTACCATTATACTACAAATTTGTAATTTCATAATTTGTTACAAGTGGAAAAGATCGCCGAATCTTACCGAATATACCCGATTTTATATAAGGGAATCAAAACGAACGGTGAGCAGTGAATAAAAGGAAAAATAATTCATCACTTTTCTCGTCTGTGTTGGTGCGAGTACAAGGAAATAGTACCGGTCTCGACACGTGGCTGTTAATTGCTTCTCTGTCTATAATATCCATTTATAACATCAAGTAAGTAAGCTATATAATTATTATTTATATAACATAATTTTCCAAGAGTTTAGAGCATGCAGAGTCTCTCTTAGGGCATTTGTGACCGTGATCCTAATAATTAATAGAGGAATGTATTTTCCATAGTAAAATATATTATATAGAATGATAAGAATCAGAACGAAGAAATGTAGTACCTATATAGTTATTTGAGCAATTATAGAAAACTTGTGGGTTAGTAATAATATATGAAATAAAATACCCCGTAAAAAGTTTTTCTGCACAGAATACCTTCCTATATTAGGCTGGTTTTTTCCTGTGCATCGGGAGCATTTATATCGCATAATAATTATTTATTACAAATCATCCGGATAATTAAACCGGTACATAGTACAATGTATGTGATCAGTTAGATCTTATGTGCAGGTGGCCTTGGAGAGTTATAATGTAGTAAAGAAAATAGAGTCGAGAATTGTTCTATTGGGATAAGAATTTGCTGGAATATTCTATTGCAAATTAACGTTTTGTGAACGATATATATATGTTTTTAACAAATCGGAAATAAAGTTTTTGGATAAGTGTTATCAAGAACTGACTATGTAACATTTGGTTTTTGCATTAAAATATCCTCCTGTATAAAACTTTTTGATTTACATTTTCATTTGTTTATACAGGTGCTTTATTATTATTTATGTATTCTGTTTGAATTTTATCTGCATTTTAATTTGAAATTGAACATGCAATAACCATATTAACTAGGTATATGGTTGTTTCAATTTGTTTCTATCCATTTGCTAAATGAACCTTATTATTTAGTTACAATCTCAATATATTTCCTCATTAATCTGTAATACCTTTTGGTACCTACTTAAAACTATTACTTGTTACAATCATTTTTTTATTCAAAATTTTAGTGGTAAAACCATTTTCAAATGATTTTTATGTCATGTATGCTATAAATGAACCTTTATGTTTGAAAGCGAATTATTAAATCTTTTGGAAACTATTCAAATGGCAGTATTCTACTAAGTTTGTTATTATAAGAAAAAAACCTTGAAAAAGTTGTAGGTCCATTGTTTGCATTTCCAAATTAGAAAGAAAAAATGAATAATGGAAACTATCCACAAATAACCAATTTTCAATTTTTGGCAGCTATACTCTATTAATAAAATATTGAAATTGGCCTCCCTTGAGCTGACAAGGCTATATTATACTCAATCCTGCTGAATCAGTAAATTAACTTCTTGTGTAATATTTTTCAGTAGAAACTATTGTCTTTAATACTCCTGTTATCTATAATTTTTTCCTTACTACTAATTCCACATATATCTACTTGTAGTGGGATCATTGGAAATGTTATCTGAAATTTCATTATGTACTATGTTTTTGATTCATTCAAGTTCATTTTCTGTCTAATGCAATCTGTGATTTTGCCTAAGCATCTGTGGTGCTACATACTTAGAATACCCATATCTTCTTAAATTCTCTGCTCCATAGGGTCTCTTTATGTGCGTGAAGTAGGTTGAGATGAAAGTTTTTCAGTGACTTGCTATTTGGCAGTCATGCAACAATGTACTGTCAAAAGCTTGTATGTCAAGAACTACTTTAGTACATTTTATTAATGCTTCTGTGACACTGTTAAATTGCAGAGTGGTTTTCTAGAAATCCGAATTGGTTATATTCAGATTACTATTATCATCATTCGGATCATTAGTATTATAGGAATTACTTCTGGGCGTTTTTTTTTATCAACTATACAAAGAAAATATCAACTATACAAAGAAAATATCAACTATACAAAGCAAAATCTAAGAGATATACCTAATAGTTTTGAAAAAAATCCTCTTTTTTAGAATGTTTTTAACAATGTCACAATATATGGTAAGCATGATTCAGCGATGACAGAAGGATAAATAAACAGATGATTTCAAAAAATCGCCACTTAACTGAACATCCAATGACAATTTATATGCCTAAGTAGGTATTTAGTACTTATTACATAGATAATTTTTTAAGTACATGGTGAGAATGATTCAGCAAGGATAAATAAATATATAAAGATTCAAAAAATCAACACTCCTAATAAACTAAACACTGAGTATTCATTGATAATTTAACATACCTAAGTACTCCAGGCAAATAAGCAAAATTTAACTCAAGGCAACCTAATAGCCAGGCATTTGACAAGTTGAGTTTTTCCGTTAATATATACATATATGTAGAAATTTCGGCGTTGTTATTGGAATTTGTATAAAAAACTATTGCAAATAAAAAATTGCGCCCGGCATTATTCATATTTGTTTAAAGACGACATTTTGGAACAAGAATCCGCAAAGAAACCAATCAGAAACATTTTTCCTATGGGAGCAGTCGCACAACATGACTAACTGTAATTTTTAACTTATTAACAGTTAGAATAACTTTTAAACTGTTACTCGTAGATAAAAAAAATTCATATTTGAAATGCTGATAATTTTTACACGAATTTACTTCTACAAGTAAACAACTTCTACTACAAAAAAATTATTCTGGTAAGATTAGGTACAAAGTAGGGATTTTGTAAAATTCATATATTTACGTTTTTTTATAACAGTAGAAAAAAACTTAAAATGGAATAATAAGTTGTACGAAGTTTTAGTTTATAAAACAAATTTCTGTATGTGTTTCTTTTGATTTTCCCTAAGGCCCTGATCGAAAGGCGAGTAAAACCACGTTTTTATGGCTCTTTGGTAAATCTCGCCAGTTTATCATTGCAATACCGCTGTTTTATATACCGACGAGTTCAGATTTTCAGATTTGTCATATTTTTTACTTGGCTCGTCATGTAACTGCGTGCCATCACGGACGTTGAGCTGAATCGGCAGTTTTTGTAATAATTTTCTGTAATCAGGTGGTTCTACTAACAATTTTTAATTTAAATGGATGTGGGACAGTTCTTATTTTCTATCCAATTTTTAACTCAAACTCCAGAGCTTTCTCGCTTCTTTTTCATTCTTTCGCTGTGTGCTTAGCCAGGTAGTACATGTTTCTTTAATTCCCATTCAAACACGATTTTTGCTCGCTAGTCTTATCAGCACCAACGAGCCGCGAGTAAACCGTGGAATAGACTCAAACTTCGATCACCCCTTTTTCGGAAAGAATTATTGTTCTTATAAAATCTTACTTATAATTTCATTACGTGATTTATTATTTTTTGTTTTAGAAGTCAAATATCTGTGAAGGGTTGTTAAAATTGGTTTCATTGACATACAAAAATGATTATTTACCTATACCAGAAAAGGCTAAAAGCATTGACCGTGAAATATATAAAACAATCTGCTAATTTTATAATTTTTTATCTCGTCAAGGTTGTTAGAAACGCTGAATCATGCGTTAACAGTTATTAAGAAACATTATTATAGTTGGGTGACAATAACTTAGTTAAATTCTAGAAATTCATTATAAATAACATAAATTAACATTTTAAATTCAAAGGCATTAAAAAACTTTTTTAATACCTACAATATTTATCTTTAAAATACCTAGAATTATAATATGTAAATGTATAGGTATTTCTGCTGAGGGATCAATCTACCTGAAGTAGTTATATTTAAATATTTTTTTATCATCCTTGAAATATGCAGTTCTGGTTACAGATCATTTTGTAAGATCTACTGCTATTGTCATCATTTTTTATACTAAGGTGCTATAAATTGGATCCATGTCTATTTTTAGTGAATAGGAAATAAATTTGTAATGTTAGATCGGGTGTGAATATAAGAAAGAACATTAGTAAAATCTCACTATTCGGGCACTATTAAAAACCAGGTGTCGGATTATTGGAATGTTGTTATTATTGGATTGTTTGGAATATTGGATTGTATAGAAGATCCGCAATATAATAAAGCATTTCATAAAGGGAATAGGTACAACCGTTGTACAACGTATATATTTGTGTTCATGTTCTACTCGTTTTTTATAACTATACCTATTTCTATTTAACTAAATACATAGTTAACATAGTTGAAAATAATCCTTAATTGAGGCTTGTTTTTGTGTAACTAGTAGTAGTAGTTCTTATTTAAAAACCTCTGTTTGCATATTTCAAAGAATTATAAAAGCAGATACGCCATTTTCTTTGGCCCATGTTATACAGGTATTGAAACAATTAAATGCTGTAGGTATCTGGTTTTACTTCTTCAGTAGCTGTAGCTGCTGGCTCCAATATTTCTTCTTGTGCTGCTTCACACATAATTTGTCTGTCATAATCTGTTTCTTTTAGTTTCTTCAATCCCTTTAACCCTCAATCCCACGGGTGGGGTCCATCAGTACACGTACAAATGAAATTGCTTAATTTTTTCAATTTTTTTTTTGTATTTTTTTTTAGACTCGTTGTAGCTTTTAATGGTACAGAATAGTACACTTTGGCAAAATTTGGTAAAATTGTATAAATCCCTTCAATCGCTACCTACAAAAGTATCCTGACAGACCCCACCCGTGGATGAGCGTTTTTTGTTGTGTGCTATGTCTTGGCTAATATTGCAGCTATAAATGCATTTATTATATTATCTTCTTCTTCAAGTGCCATCTCCGCGGCGGAGGTCGGCAATCATCATAGGTATTCTGACTTTTGAGACGGCTGCTCTGAAAAGTTCATTTGATGTACATCCGTACTCCGTACCACTCTCACAGGTTGCGCAGCCATGACATTCTACGCCTGCCTATGCTTCTCTTTCCTTGAATCTTTCCCTGCATAATCAATTGGAGCAGGGTGTATTTTTCTCCACGTGTAATATGTCCGAGATATTAAAATTTTCTTGTTTTAATTGTATTTAAAATTTCTACTTCTTTATTCATCCTTCTCAGAACATCTTTGTTTGTGACGTGTTCTGTCCACGATATTTTCAGAATTCTTCTATACACCCACAGCTCGAACGATTCCAGTTTTTTCATTGATGTCGCATTCAAGGTCCAAGATTCCATTTCATAAAATAAAGTCGAAAAAACATAGCACCTCGCCAACCTAACTCTTAGTTCCAATT